TCGGGGAGGAGGAGCAGGGCGGCCCTGGAGACGCACGGGCCGCCTCCCGCAAGGCAGTCCCGCTTCCCGTGGGCCCCGGGCGGGCCGCCTTCGTCAGAGGCCCCGATCGCGGAGGTTGGCGCCGCTGTGCCCCGTTCTCTTGGTCAGATGACCGCGCGTGAGCCGACAGCCTGCACCGCGTGGCCTGGTGTGCCTAGGGGCTGGGTTCCAGGACCCCCACAGGTAGCGAAGTTGGCAGTCCCTGCCGTGAAACGATGCCTCGGTGACTTCTAGTACCCAATCCAATGTAAATAGTTCATAAGTGGCGGTTGTACTCTGTTGTGTAGGGAATAGCAAGAAAAAAGGTCTGTACGTGTTCAGTACAGATGTGACTTTTGTTTTGGTCCTTTTGATCTGAGGTTGGCTGAATCCCCAGACGGGGAATCTATGGAAACAGAGAACCAAAAAAATCTTTTTTTTCCCCCCAGTTGGAGTCTGTCGCCCAGGCTGGAGTGCCGTGGCATGATCACAGCTCACCGCAGCCTGGACCTGCTGGGCTCAGGCAGTCCTTCGCCTTCCAAGTAGCTGGGACTACAGGCATACACTACTGCACCTGGCTAATTTTTTTTTTTTTTTTTTTTTTGTAGCAAGAAGTTCTTGCTGTGCTGCCTAGGCTGGTCCAAAACTCCTGGGCTCAAGCCATCCTCACACCTTGGCCTCCCAAAGTGCTTACAGGCGTGCGCCACCATACCCAGCCCAAGAATCTTTCTTCATGCAAATAATCTCATCCTTTGTCTGTTTTGCCAGTACATATTCTCCAGGTTTATTCTGCAGCTGGTCACAGATGTAGAAGAAATGCTCTTTCTGTTGCCAGTCTAGTTGAGGAGACAATGCAGACACTTCAGAAGGCTGATGAACATCTGCAGAACTACTTAGCAACAAATTCTAGTACAGAGAGTACAGCTGAGCACAAGCCTCTGGGAGGCCACTGGATTAAAGTCAGATGGGGTCATTCGGGAAAGGCTAATCGAAGCCGAGTTTTGAGCTGCTTTTTTTTAAAGGGTGCTGCAGACTTATTTTAACAGTAACCGGCTGCAGGCAAGAACTTCTTGCTACAAAAAAAAGATTAGCCAGATGCAGTAGTGTGTGCCCGTAGTCCAGCTACTTGGAAGGTTGAAGGATTGCCTGAGCCCAGCTGCTGAGGAGTGGGCGCTGCCTTCTTACTTCCTGGGCCCCAATTTCCTGTCAGCTCACTGGGGTGAGCCAGAGTTGGCTGTAGCCCAGGTCGCAGGATGTCTGTGGCTGGGGTGTTGGGGCAGCCTGCCGATCCACTCTGACCTGAAGCTCTGGCCAGGGAGCTGAGAGTGACCAGAGCCGAAACGGAGGCTTGAGACAGTGACTCCAAGGATTGCAGCGGGATTCAGAGTGGAAGGGGTGTCTGCGGCACAGTGTTAGGAAAAGAGAGAAGTGGTTTTCACCCTCTTCCCTCCACCCTCCCCAGAGCTGTTGCCCAAAGGGAGCAAAGAGGAGCAGCGGGATTACATCTTCTACCTGGCTGTGGGGAACTACCGGCTCAAGGTAGGGCAGGAAGGCTCCCTCCCAGCTCCCTGCGTGGGCGGCCCCGGTACCTTCTCTGCCCCCTGCTCCAGGGTCGAGTGCTGGACAGAAGGAAGGCTGGAGCAGGGCAGGAGGCTGGGCGGTGTTGGGTCCAGAGGTGCAGGGTGGTATCAGGCGCAGGCCCCGAGGGAGGATTGGGCTGAGGGCGTGGGCACCAGGTGACGTCAAGGTTGGGGTGCAGCCCCAGGCGTTAGGGTGTTATCGCCCACGCAGTTGGGGCGGTTTGTGGACTCTACTCCACGGGGCGGGGGTGCGGTGGAGGCCGAGGGAGGACCCCCGGGGCCAGAGGGAAGGCCCCGTGCTGGGCGGCAGTGCTGCGACGAGAGTGTCTTCCCTGGGTGCAGGAGTATGAAAAGGCCCTCAAGTACGTGCGAGGGCTGCTGCAGACAGAGCCCCAGAACAACCAGGCCAAGGAGCTGGAGCGGCTCATAGACAAGGCCATGAAGAAAGGTGAAAGCCCCACCTCTGGCACGTCCTCCCCCCA